CTTTGTTCAAAAAAATTTTTTGGCGCCCCCCTCCCGAACGCAAATCCTGCGACCGCCACTGCTATCTATCGATGAAAGTTTGAATCCTTGAATTCCCATATTGAAGGGATTACTTCTTCAAATTAACGCATTTAGATCATTGTCAAAACATATCATACAACAGTAGATGTTTTGACACATTTACGGCAGAGTTGATTTTTCGATTACTGCCGTTCGGACCGGAGCTTCTTTCCCTTTGTCAAACCTGCGACCCACCGTGTGTCGTATTGTCCGAAATGATAGTCTTTTCGGAAGCATTCAAAACATGTCCCCTTAGGAGTCACCGAAGAGGCTGATTACGTGATTTACTTTAGTTTTAAGCAATGTGACTTATTTTAGTTTTGGGCAATGTGATTTATTTTGTTTCAGGCATTATACGGTAAAGCTACGGTAGTCATTGTGCACCGCCACATCAAGAACTTTCACGAATTGTTTGGGAATATCACATCCTAATCAGGATTATGTGTCCACTTTGTTCACTACAGTCTCACAGAGGGGCTACGGTAGTATTACGGTAGAATTCTCGTAAAAATCAAGAAACTGATGTAAAAAGGCGGTACTAGAACTTGAGACTATCATTTTCGTAATCAGCATGCTACAAAACCTATATCTGTTAAATTTGAGCTTCCTGGAACGAATAATGCAAAATTAATAAAATCAATAAAAATAATTTTCTGATTAATTCCAAGCATAATTATAATTTCTGGGATAACATCAGTCTTTTTTTTTCGTCCCGTATTTCTCGTGAATGTACACTTGAATTTTCAGTTACAACATCATTCTGCGGGCGGAGAATTTTAGCTGAAGTCTGATTATCTCTATCTACGGTATACCTCCTACCGTAGCATCATATTACAGTAACTCTGGCTGGAGCTTCGCCTAGGTTTCCTCAATTGTTTGCCAGGACCCCGTAGAATTCCTTCCTAAACCGGCAAAGCTAGAGTTTCAGAAATCTTACGACCACCGATGGGTCATATCGTTCGAAATAGCAGAACACTTACGTCCCACCGGTGTGTCGTATTGTCTTGAATATGTTCGACACATTGCCTTTCCACAAAAATCAGCGCAGATTCGCTGGGAATAGGAAAGTTGTGAAGAATTTTTGGTAGGCTAGAACTCTCACTCCTACTCGATATGTAATGAGCGCTATTTACAAGTTGGAATCTAAAAACATCAACTGATGTCCACTTTCTAGCTCAAGATACGAAAAGCTGAATTGTTGTTTTTTCTCGACGATGAACAGGAAGAAAAGCCGATGATAAGCAATCCGATCCATTCAAGCAGAACTTGGCTTGACTAGTTCATAAGCAAAGTACTTACAAGTGATGATAACAGAATGCCACGTACTGGGTTATGGAAGCCGCTCCATTGTGCATCAAATTCATTTTGAAGCTACTTGGGTTTTAGATTGCCAGTTTGGGCAAAAGGACTCACAGTGAGTTGCTTCAAGTTTTCATGCAGAGCTCCTCTATGCTTTTGAGATTTGCAGCTGAAAATTAGGAAAATTGGAATAGGGACGTAGCACTTCTCTTAGCCGAGAACAGAATGGATTATGAAGCTACCGTGAAATACCTTAAGGTAGTCGCAGATCAATGGTTTCAAGTCTGAAATGTCTGAAATTTTCAGTGTCTTTTTCCGAAAGTTTCTGACGAAGAACTTTGTTGGGCTTATATTGAATCGGAAGGAAATATAGATCGTGCAGCAGGTCTTATTCTGGATGGTCAGGTAACTGGTACCATATGGCCCTTTGATAAAAAACAAATAAGTCAAAAAAGTCAGCAAAAGAGGACCCTT